GTGTAGAGTTCTGTAGATGTCTGTTAGGTCCATCTGTTCTAGTGTGTTGTTCAGTACCTCTGTGTCCTTATTTACTTTCTGTCTGATTGATCTGTCCTTTGGAGTGATGGGTATGTTGAAGTCTCCTAAAATGAATGCATTGCATTCTATTTTCCTCTTTAATTCTGTTAGTATTTATTTCACATATGTAGGTGCTCCTGTGTTGGGTGCATAGATATTTATAATGGTTATATCATCTTGTTGGGCTGACCCCTTTATTATTATATAATGTCTTTTTTTGTCTCTTCTTACTTTCTTTGTTTTGAGGTCTATTTTGTCTGATACAAGTACTGTAACACCTGCTTTTTCCCCCCTATTGTTTGCATAAAATATCTTTTTCCATCCCTTCATTTTTAGTCTGTTTATGTCTGAGGTGACATATGTCTGAGGTTTGAGGTGAGTCACTTGTAAGCAGCATATAGATAGTTCTTGCTTCTTTTTATCCATTCTATTCCTCTGTGTCTTCTGATTGGTCCATTCAGTCCAGCTACATTTAGGGTGATTATCAATAGATACATATTTATTGCCATTGTAGGCTTTGGATTCATTTTTACCAAAGGTTCAAGGGCAGCTTCTTTACTATCTAACTGTCTAACTTAACTCACTTATTACGCTATTATAAACACAGTCTGATGATTCTTTATTTCTCTCCCTTCTTTTTCTTCCTCCTCTACTTTTTATATGTTAGGTGTTTTATTCTGTACTCTCTTGTGTTTCCCTTGACTGATTTTGTGGATAGCTGATTTTATTTTGCATTTAGTTAGTATTTGGTTGCTCTACTTTCTTTGCTGTGGTTTTATTTTCTCTGGTGATATCTATTTAGCCTTAGGAGCACTTCCATCTAGAGCAGTCCCTTTAAAATATACTGTAGAGATGGTTCATGGGAGGTAAATTCCCTCAACTTTTGCTTATCTGGGAATTGTTTAATCCCTCCTTCAAATTTAAATGATAATCTTGCTGGATACAGTATTCTTGGTTCAAGGCCCTTCTGTTTCATTGCATTAAATATATCATGCCATTCTCTTCTGGCCTGTAAGGTTTCTGCTAAGATGTCTGATGATAGCCTAATGGGTTTGCCTTTGTAGGTGATCTTTTTTCTCTCTCTGGCTGCTTTTAATACTCTGTCCTTGTCTTTGATCTTTGCCATTTTAATTATTATATGTCTTGGGGTTGTCCTTCTTGGGTCCCTTGTGTTGGGAGATCTGTGGACTTCCATGGTCTGAGAGACTATTTCCTTCCCCAGATTGGGGAATTTTTCAGCAATTATTTCCTCAAAGACACTTTCCATCCCTTTTTCTCTCTCTCCTTCTGTTACCCCTGTAATGCGAATATTGTTCTGTTTAGATTGGTCACAAAGTTCTCTTAATATTCTTTCATTCCTAGAGATCTTTTTATCTCTCTCTGCCTCAGCTTTTCTGTATTCCTGTTGTCTGATTTCTATTTCATTAACAGTCTCTTCAACCTCATCCAGTTTGCTCTTAAATCCTTCCATTGTTTGTTTCATTTGTGTTATCTCCCTCCGGAATTCTTTCCTTAGCTCTTACATATTTCTCTGTAGCTCCATCAGCATGCTTATGACTTTTATTTTGAATCCTTTTTCAGGAAAATTGGTGATTTCGGTCTCACCAGGCCCTCTCTCTGATGTTTGAGGGATTTTGGACTAAACAAGTGGCTATGGAAGTGATTGCCTGTGAGTGGTGTGTGTGTCAGCTGGGAGAACTAAGTCTTTTCCTGCTTGCTGGTGGCCTTGCCCATCTCTGCTGCCTGTGCCGGTCATCCGCACACAGGGTTAATCCCCTGAGCTGCCATGGGCGGGGCTGTCCTCTGGATTGCCAAGGGAACTCGCGGTGGTTGCAGGCGAGCAGCACATGTTTGCCACGAGATCAGAGCCTCTATGTGCTTCCCGGACTCCGCGGCAGTTTCCTCTGCCTGTGCCAGTCAGGCGGGTGCAGGGGGCAGCCTCTGGGTTAATCCCCTGAGCTGCCGTGGGCGGGGCAGCCCTCTGGATGGCCTAGGGCACTTGGCAGGGGTTGCAAGTGAGCAGCACATGTTCAACCTCAGAATAAAGCCGCTTTTGCCTTCCAGACTCTGAGCTGGTCTCCACTGTCTGTGTCGGTTAACTGTGGGCAGGGGCCAGCCTCTGGGTCTGGCTTGGTTAGCCGCATGCTGGGAGAAGCCTCTGTGTGGTTGCTGTGAGTGGGGCTGTTCCCTGGTTGCTCCGCAGCAATCGTGGGTAGTCTGGTTCACTTGCAGTGCCAGCAGGGGTGACTGAATGGCAGACTGCTTATCACCATGAGGGGCTTCAGTGCTGCGTTGCCACCCAGGGGGTTTAGGGCACCTGAAGTTACTTAAAGTTCCCAACCTGCTGGGCTGAGTGTGCCGGGACGATCTTGTCCACCTGTTAAACCCTTGTCCCTTTAAGACTTTTAAAGCTCCCGCTTTTCTTTTTTCCCACAGCAGCTGGCTGTGGGAACCTGTTCGCAGTCTTAGTCTCGGATTTTGCTTTTCCGTTCCTCTAATATCCAGTGCACCATGCAATGTGTGTCTGTGCTCCCAGGGCAGATTACTAGGGCTGGTTATTTAGCAGGTCTGTGCTTCCACTCCCTCCCGACTAATTCTTTTCCTCCCGCCAATGAGCTGGGATGGGGGGAGTGCTCGGGTCCCGCTGGGTCACGGCTTTGTATCTTATCCTTTTCGTGAGATGTTGAGTTCTCACAGATGTAGATGTAGCCTGGCTGTTGTACTGTATTTTCTGGTCACTCTTAGGAATAGTTATATTTGCTGTATTTTCAAAATATATATGGTTTTGGGAAGAGATTTCCACCACCCAACTCATGCCGCTATCTTGAGAATCTCCCCCGGTAATGATTTTTAAAAGCAGTTCATGGTTTGTTCATTCATTCATTCATCTATTATGTGCCAAGTCCTAGCCTAGGTCCTGGGGATGCAGTTATGAACAAGATTGACAAGGTCCTAAGATCACTGCTCTTTTGAAAGTTAATAGTCTAATGTAGGAAGCACAGTAAATAAGAGAGTAATATAATGGTTATTGCTTCGATAATAGGGTGGTGTTATGCAGCATGACCCTGAGGAACAGTCTCAGGGGGTAGGAGGTAACTTTCCATTGAGTGTCAATGAAGGCCTAGGTAAGGAAGTTTCATCGGAGCTGAGACCTGAGCCATCCTTGCAAAGACATGCAGGAAGAAAGACCAGCAATTGCATGAGTGTGAGGGCACTAACAACTGTGATCTGTTTCAGGTTTGGAAAAGCAGACCTGGAGCAGAGTGGTAGACCAAGGAAAGGCAGGTTATGTTTCCAGGCCCAGATAGCCTTCCTTTTGATACAAGTGCCTGCTCAGCCTGGGATAAATCACCCACCCTTGCACACATATATATGCATATGAACTGATCTTATTATTGAACATAGCTCATGATCTAGAAAAGTAATGCTAAATTTTATCTTGGTTTGGTTTTTGAAGGAGGATGCCTGCTTTATAAAAGCTAAAATATGGTATGGATTTAAAAGTGTTGAGAGCATGAATGTTCTTGATGTTCTTAGGTATACATGAACACTTACAGGTATGGAGACAGTACTTCAATATGCCAATTTTTGGTTGGAAAAATGACACAATTGTGCCAGTAGACCCAAATATCATAGTCAAAGTGACAAATCAAGCCATTTATCCTACAGTGACTTTATTCAAGAATTGTAGAAAGTTTCCTGGGAGATACCAATTTGCTACAAAGTACTCTCAGGATAACTACAATTTTTAAAAATGTCACAGCTTAGCAAGTATTGAGATGTACTTGCATCTTTTGTCTGTTATCTCAGTAGCCTATTTTGCCTGATTTCATTGTGGAAAGGTGAGAAGTTCCAAGTTTTATTACATCATCCATTAGAAAGAGCATATTAAAGGTAAGTTAGTGTTACATATGTTCTTGAAGTAAGTATTTCTGAATATTTAGTTTCTTTTCTTCCACATCAACCCTCCTGTTTCCCTGGATGGAAATAAGTAACCACAGCACAAATTGTACAGAGATTATGCTAAATCTCCCATGTTCAGTTTACATAGAATTTGACTTTTTCCTCCAAGAAAATGTTTTCTAAGTCTAAAATGTGTGAGTATAGCAGGGGCAGAAAAGAAGGCTGAACTCACTGAAGGCAGGGACTGTGTCCTAGAATCCATCAGTCAAAGTGTTGTGCTGTTAACTCAGACTTAGTAACTTTTACACCAGAGCTATGGTGTACTACCCTACAAGGCCGAACACCAAACATATTCATGGGTTAGCAAGTCATTGCTGGATCAAAAATTGCAGTCCCAAACCTACAAGTGAGTGATGGAGTTCTTTGGTTTCCTGGAAATAATAGCTTCTCCAAGCTAAACTGTGAATAACTTGTATCCAGCTTGTCTAGTTACTACAGATGGAGCATTGAGGGACAGTTAATATTTAATTGAGGGACAGTAAATATGGGGAAAAATGTTTTGTTTGATGCAAGACGATGGTAGCACAAATACAGCAGTTAGTGACAGAAGAGGATGCTATGTCGGGGTAATAAATTTTGATGTGTATGATTTTTTTTTTAAAGGTGGTTTCTCTAATTCTGCATGATAACAGGGTAGTACTTGTTACTGTGTCCTCTCTGTTCTAGAAATCTCAGAATAATTTGGTATAATTGGGCAGTTTTCATGCCTTGGGGAGCCTTTTTGTTTGTTTTTGTTTTTTTCTCAATAACTGAGAGAAGTTGGTATTTAAATTAAATCCTCTGCATTAATCATTCAATCCATTTCATCTACTCCTGTTTATGACTTTATGGGTGAATTTGTTTCCTCAGTGGAGAATTGGTCAGGAAATAGACTATCTAGGGGATTTTCCAGTTGGAAAGCACTTCTGTGCTCAGGTCTGAAGAGCTCGGTCCACCCTTAAATTGATTTCCTAACATGTTTCTCCTTTATTTCCTAGAGAAATGAGTGTGAAAATAGAAGGTTGCTCGACTGAGATCCACATCCAAGTTGGCCGGTTTGTGTTGATTAAAGGGGATGATGATGAAAATCCATATGTTGCTAAGTTGGTTGAACTGTTTGAAGACGGTGAGTTTGCGGCTGAACTAAAGCTGTTCCTTGTCATGAATGATTGGGAAGTGCTAGGTGGTGGGTAAGAGAGGTGGTTGCTGATTCCTGTGTTCACAGCAGCATGTGGAGAATGAACCACTGATTCTGAGGTGGGGGGTCACTTAAGCACTAGCTGTACTTTCTTCCATCTATTGAACTTCTTAACTGACTAGAGCAGTATTGGGTAAAAATGGGATTGGGGGTGCTGGAGAATTTAGCTTTTCCATTATTTTTAGGAGTGGCTAAGAAAGGCAGGATTTTTTGAAATGGAGAGGAAAGATGAATTCAGAAAGGGTCAAGAAGAAAATAAGTGATTTGCACTGTAGTAGAGATGTGTCCTCTGGTTTTGGCATGAGAAAAATGAATTTTGCAAATGCAACTTTTTTTACAAGGGAGGGGGTAAGTTGGGTTGGGAAGGTGTATCAGTGGATCAGCAGTCAGGAAAACAAAAACCCTTTAGGTGTTTTACCCAGTGGGACTTGAGTATAAATGTTGGGGGAAAAAAAGACTGGAGGAACAAAAGTGGTATTTCCCAGAGATTGGTGAATGCAGAAAACCACTACTGCCCTTAAGGCTGGAGGAAGAAAGGGAGGGTAGTCCTGCAAATCTATACTCACAGCCTCAGCTGATTTTCTGAGCTTTGACCCTCTGCAAAAGAGAAGAATACAGAAAGGCAGGAATGGGGCAGAGTTCCTAAAGGAGGCCTGAGAAGATCGAGATTTGAAGCTATACAAAACTGCCTCTTCGAAGAGCTAGGAAATAAATGATGTGGCTGTTAGTCCTGTGGCAGTCTATGTGCCTAAAAGAAGGAACTGAGAATGAGTGGGTAAGGAGTTTTTACATTAGGGAGATAGGAAGGATATTTGACAGTGCAGAGGAAAACCTCATCAAACTAACATCCCCAAGGGGGGGCACATTGGCACTGTGGGCCTTTGTGCTTAAGGTATGGGCCTCTGTGTATAGATTTTAGAATCCTTGTGTTCCATTGGTTTGTGTCTTTTTCTGAAGAGAGCTAAGGAAGAGATGAGGTGATGATAATGCACTAGTGAGTCTATGTCCTTTCTCATGGACCTAATGGTGGTATGGAATGACAGTAATGGTGTATTACTGTGATAAAGCTGAAGGTTGCAAGCATGTTTGCCAGAAGTCATTTTAGTGGCTGATGCTCTGACTGTTGCCAGGGTTTTTTGGTGTTTTTTGTTGCTTATGTTTGAGGCTCTTTATAATTACTGATGTGCAAGATTTGCCCAGTACCTGTGATCAGACTTGCCCCTCTGAGGTTCCTTTTCTAATTTCTGTGATGACTACTGGCACCATTAGGAAGTAGAGCAAAGTGAAAAGAACAGGGGTGCTGGGTGGAGTCAGATCACTGCTGGTTGGTCGTGACCTTTGACGAGTTATTTAAGGGCCCTGTAACTTGATTACTTTGCCTGTAAAAGGGAGATAGCTATAGTACCTACCTTGAAGGGTATGGTGAGGATGTAGGATTATATGTTAATCAAGTATTATCAGGTGCTTGGCACAATCTGGTACCTAGGAATTGTTTAATAAAATGTTCTTGCATCTTCTTAACCTTCTCTTTTCCACCTATCCCTCCTAGATTCTGAACCTCATTCCAAAAAACGTGCTCGAGTGCAGTGGCTTATCCGATTCTGTGAAGTCCCTGTCCGTAAACAGCATTTGCTAGGCCGGAAGCCTGATACACAGGAGATATTCTGGTATGATTACCCTGCCTGTGACAGCAACATTAATGCTGAGAGCATCATTGGCCATGTGCAGGTAGGTGATGCCTTGATCCTCAGTTCTATTTTGAAGCTTGTTTCTAGCAGCCTCATAAACTGTATGACCTCAATTGGTGGCTCTAATTTACCCCAGGGAAATAAATCTTTCCTATTCGTCGTGTTCTCTGCTTGCCTGCTTACTTTATCTCAAGAAATATTTTTTGAGAGCACTTACCATGTGTAGGAGTCTCCTGAAGGAAGTGACATTTAGGTTGTGACCTGAGGGATAAACAGGAATTAGCAAGTGTATCTCAGTGGGAAAATATATTTAGCTATGACTGTAGCACACATAAAGCATTTTGAGGCTAGATATACATGTTTAAATGAGGACTTCACCTTGAGTAAACCAGTACAAAGAGTGCTAGTTGCTTCAGGCAAATATATTTTATAGGATTTTATGATAAATCAGGTTCCAGTGAACTGTAGGCTCAGTTGGAGCACTGGTTTGGAGACTAAAATACAGGTTATTTCTCAAGCTACTTCAGGCCTCCAAAATGGGAGCAGATCATAATGTGAAGTATGGTGGCACGGTGATTAGGTGGTTGGTTTAATGGTGTAGGACTCAGAGACCTTGGTCTGGCGTGACTAGATTCAGAGTTTTCTAATCTGTTTGCCAAGCATAACATGCAACAATTTATCTTTGAGTTAGTGAAGGAGTGAAAGGCAGGTGTAGAAGTTGAAGCAGCAAGATGGGTAGATTTAGAAAGGCAGACAGGCAAGAGAGTGGTTAGGCAGGGCATGATGGTGGGAGTGGGCAGAGCTGTGACAAGCCACGCTCAAGGAGTGATGGGAGGCCATTTTGAAAAGTACTCAGGAAGTAAAGTGGGGTCAGATTTTAGAAGACACTGAAAAACAGTTTAAGTAATTGGATCTTGCTCTAGTGGGGAGCCATGGAGACTACTGATTAGGAGAACATACTTAGAGAAATATTTGTGGGGAAATTTTGCTTAAGTGAATAGAATGGACTGGAAAAGAAAGCAACGTTGGGCATGGATATCAGTGAGGAGGAGTCTGTGGAAATATGCTATACCATATCTGTACTTTTTTGAAAAAGTGAAGTTCCAGGTAAGGATGCAGACTTAAATGCCTTTTAATCATAGCTCTCATGGAGCATTCCTTGGCTCTTCTGGTTCTTATTTCTTCCTCTTCACCTACTTTTAAAATTCAGGTTGTGGCTTTAGGCCCAGATGAAGTGATACCTATGCATCTGAAAAATAAGAAGACACTCTTTGTGAAACTATCTTGGAATGAGAAGAAATTCAGACCACTATCCCCAGAAATATTTGCAGAGTTGGATAAGCTACAGGAAAGCAGCCCTCGATGCTGGAAGCCCATGGGAGCCAAGACTAAGAGCACAGAAAGCCCTTCTTGGACCACAGCAGAGCATGCGGTCAAAAGGATTGAATCAAGACACTCCACCTCCAAATCTCGCCGAACTCCTTCCCGTCCTGTCACCCCAAGGGCAAGGAAGAGACTGGAGCTCAGCAGTAAGTGTGAAATGGGTCACAGTGGGCATATTGAGCCTAAAAGAATATCATAAAGTATTAATTCATGCTACAGTATTGAGTTTGGCCCATGCTACAGCAGTGGGCCAGACAAGGATTGGACACATGTTGAAATATATGTAACCTAAAATTAATCATTTTAATCATTTTTAAGTGGCATTAAGTGCATTCATTGTTGTACAACTATCATCACCATCCTCTTCATCATCTCCCCAAACTGAAACTGCAGCCATTAAACAGTAACTCTCCTTTCTCACACCCCCATCCTCTGACAACCACCATTCTACCTTCTGTCTCTGAATTTGACTACTATAGATGCCTCATGTAAGTGGAATCATTTGGTATTTATCCTTTTCCATTTGTTTTAGTTTAATGTCCTCAAAGTTCATCCATGTTACATATGTATTTAAATTTCCTTTTTTAAAATTGATGTACACTTGACATATAACATTAGTTTTAGGTATACAGCATAGTGATTTCATATTTATATATATTGTAAAATGATCTCACTAAGTCTAGTCAACATGTCACCACACATAGTTAACACATTTTTTTCTTGCAATGAGGACTTGTAAGGTTTACTTTTTTAACAACATTCAAATATGTAATATAGTATTAGCTGTATAGTCATCATGCTGTACATTATGTCCCATGACTTACTTATTTTATGACTAGAATTTTCTACTTTTTGATCCCCCTTCACTTATTTTATCTATCCCTTCACACCCCACCTCTGGCAACCACCAATCTGTTCTCTATATCTATGAGCTTGTTTTTTTTTTTTAATTTATATTCCACATATAAGTGAGATTATATAGTATTTGTCTTTCTCTGTCAGCCTTGTTTCACTTAGCATAATGCCCTGGGGGGTCCATCCATGTTGCAAATGGAAAGATTCCATTTTTTTTATGGCTGAATAATAGTCCATCATTATATATCAAGTTTTCTTTACCCATTTATCCATCAATGGGCACTTAGGTTCTTTCCATGTCTTGATTGTAAGTAATGCTACAGTGAACATGAGGGTGCATGTGTCTTTCAGTTAGTGTTTTAATTTTCTTGAGGTAAATACTCAGAAGTGGAATTACAGGGTCATATGGTAGTTCTATTTTTGATTTTTTGAGGAAACTCCATACTATTATCTGTAGTTGCTACACTAATTACAATCCCACCAACAGTATACAAGGATTCCTTTTTCTCCACATCCTCCCCAATACTTCTTTTTTCTTGTCTTTTTAATACTAGTCATTCTAACAGGTGTGTGGTGATACCTCACTGTGATTTTGATTTGCATTTCCCTGATGATGAATAATGTTGAGCCTCTTCTCATGTCTCTGTTGGCCATCTGTATGTCTTCTTCAGAAAAATGTCTATTTAGATCCTCTGCCCATTTTTTAATCAGATTATTTTTTGTTGTTTGGTTGTATAAAGTTCTTTATGTATTTTGGCTATTAACCCCTATCAGATACAATGATTTGCAAATATTTTCTCCCTTTCAGTAGGCTGCCTTTTCATTTTGTTGGTTTCCTTTGCTGTTCAGAAGCTTTTGAGTTTGACATAGTCCAATTTGTTTATTTTTGCTTTTGTTGTCTTTGCTTTTGCTGTCAGATCCCAAAAAAAACTGCCAAGACTGATGTCAAGGAGCTTACTATGTTTACTTCTAGGATTTTTTTTATGTTCAAGTCTTTAATCCATTTAGAGTTAATTTTTGTGTACAATGTATGATAGCGATGCAGTTTCACTCTTTTACATGTGGCTGTCTATTTTCCCCAGTACCATTTACTGAAGAGACTGTCCTTTCCCCATTGTATATTCTTGGCTCTTTTGTTGTAAATTAATGGACCATATATATGTGTGGGTTTATTTTGGACTCTATTCCATTCTACTGACCTATGTGTCTTGTTTTCATGCCATTACCATACTATTTTGATTACTATAGGTTTGTAATGTAGTTTGAAGTAAGGGCCTGCGATGCCTCCAGCTTTGCTCTTTCTCAAGATTGCTTTGGCTGTGTGTGGTAAAATTTCCTTTATTTTATAAGCTGAATAATGGTCTATTGTATGTATACACCATAGTCTTATTTATCCATTCATTTGTTGATAGACACTTGGGCTGCTTCCACCTTTTGGCTATTGTGACTAATGCCACAGTGAACGTAGGTGTACAAATACCTGCTCAAATTCCTGCTTTCATTTTAGGAATATAACCAAAAGTAGAATTGATGGATCATATGGTAATTCTATTTTTAAGTTTTTGAGGAATCACCATACTGTTTTCCATAGCAGCTGCATCATTTTACATTCCTATCAACAGTTCATGAAAAGTTCCAGTTTCCCACACCCTCACCAATACTTGATATTTTCTATGCTCTTGATAGTAGCCATCCTAATCGGTGTTAGGTGGTATGTCATTTTTGTACTTCCCTAATGATTAGTGATGTTGATTGAGCCCTGTAATCAGCTATTTCCATTAAGAGCTCTGCTACCAAGATAACACTGTTTTTAGATCATTAGTGGGAAAGCTAAGAAACACCTATTTTAAAACTCTTTAATTCATACTGATACTTTTAATCTACACCACAAGTTTCTTCCCCACTTTCCCATATTCCACAATTGTATCTCCCTTGTTCCAGAAGAGCCCTGGTTTCTAGGACCATTCCTGATAAACAAAATTAAGTCACAGTTGCTATTCTGATACTACTACCAGCAGTAAACTTGTTAAATAAAATTCAGAATTTATTTGCAGTTCCTTATGCCTTTAGAATATATTCCACTGAGGGAGAAAAGTTACTCTGGTAAAAGTTTTTCTTCTGATAGTTATATTATTGGAGATACAGTTAGGTTCATTCTCTTATTTCTGTTTAATTTTAGGACTTTTTTGATCTTTGATTAATTTTTTTAAACATGTGAAATGTTAGCATAGTTTGTCAAAACTATTTAAAACAAGTATGCTCAGAGAAGCTCCATTCCTTTCTTTACCCTCATACCCTGTTTTTACCCCATCTTTTTTAAGTAATCAGTTTTATCAGTTTCTGATTTATCTTTCCTTTGTTTTTTGCAAAATTCAGCAGATGTATATAAACACATATATACACACTCATTTACATATATACAAACATACATACAATTTTATTTCCTGTTCTTTTTTACCCAGTAGGGTAGCATACTGGATATATTTTTTTCTGTCTTAATTTTTTCACTTATATCTGAAAGCCACTCCATGGAGGTTCTGAGAGCTCATCCTCATCCTATAATGGGTCATTGGTTCTTTTGAAATTTTTTATGTATGTGCCCAGTTATTTGTATTGTTCCTTAGTACAGTGTGTGTTCAGGAGCCAAATAAAAATATATAAAACATTTGGGAAATACAGAAAAGTTATGAAAGAAGTAATTGGTAATATCACCATTTAGAGATAATAGCAGTATTTTTTTTACTGTTAATTTTGCAGGATCTTGAAAGTCAGAATAAGAAATTTAGACTTGACACAGTTGCATAATTAGAGGTGGGAGGATGGATACAATGGACACATTTTGGATTGTTTCTGACAAAGATGGGAAAATGAGGTATGAGGGGGACCAAGACATTGGGGCATTTTTATATTCATCTAGACATGAGTTGCTCTCGTATTTGTTACTCAGTACTAGTAGGCTTCTCTCACCTTACCTGCAGGAATTAATTCCCTGTATACCATGTGCTATGATTTAAGTGAAAGCCTCTTTTCAGCCTTGTTGCTTCAGCTCACATTGATCTCATTATTCTTCTCACATATTCCTCCTCCTTTCCCTTTCAACTCTGTTGAAATTTTGCCTGTCTTTCAAGGTCTGTCTCAAGAGCCATATTTATTAGCACTTAGGTGCTTTAGGACACTTATTTTACTTCATATTGCAGACATTTATGTGTATCAGAGCCCCTCTTTGGCTATTTTGGATGGGGGCAACGATTGGGTCTCATTCAACGTTTTTTGTTTCCTTCTAGCACCTAGCACATATCTTGCCATTTCAGCAGCTCAGTTGGTATCTGTGAATGAATGGCTAGGTTCTTGGTTCCTTTGGTCATAATGAGAAAAGAGAAAATTCAAATGTGGGTCTGTGTATTCATGGAACCCAGTCTCTTGCCTCAGGGATCCATCTTCTATCTATGGGTAGATATAACCTGGGTTGAGAAATTTCTAGGCTTTGGTGTTAGCCATTGGTGTTAATTTTTTCCAATGTTGTTGAATGGGGGCTGAGAGTGTGCATTCTGGCTGAGAACCTCTCTTCTGTAGATTACTTCAGGAGAGTCTGATTGCTGAACATTTTTACACAAAAACGGATTGAATAGTCAAAGTCAACTTATTGTTCTAACTAAGAGAATCACCCATGGAATTTAGGAAAGAGACTGAAAATAGTAAGAGCTATCTGACCTGGGGAAAGAAAGCATGGGAGAATTCTAACTATGGGTAATGTATGTCTTTGTATAACTTCAGTAGATGAATTTAGCTATTACGAGATTAAGGGGAGTATATAGTGCTAGTTATAAAATTCACTCATTATTTATGGTGATTTCTCTTGGGCTTAGGTTTCCCTAGGACCCCTAACACTAGGATTTCCCAGACGACTTCACAGGACTCATTGGATTCTCCTGGAAAAACTAAACGGAAAGTGGCCTTCTTGGAGATCACCTCACCTTCAAAGAGGTCTCAGCTTGATGGACTTCAGACCTTATCTCCAGCTCTGAAAGCCCCACAGAAAACTGAAGACATGCGACACTCTTGTGCCAAGGATGATAAGGCTTCAGCTGAATATCAAATGATCCTAAGAACACGAGTCCCAGCTTTGAAAACCACAGAGATTAGTGAGGAAAGTACACTTATCCCTGTCAGAGTGGGACGGAGATCCTCGATGGCTTCTGTGGTTCTGAAACCAGTGTACATCAAAAAGAGGTGACTGGGGATGTTGCCCTGCCTCCCACAGAGCAAGTAGAGGTCCTTCACATGATGTGAAATGTGTAGGTCACAGTCGATAAAGTAAGAGCAGTGAGTCACAAATCTGTGTGTTACAGAATAACCCAGGCGGGCTTTCCCAAAATACAGATTTCAGAGCCTCTTTCTAGACTTAGTGAATTAATCTCCAAGTGTTGGGTTCAGGAATCTGCATTTTTGAAAAGCTCTTTGAATGCTCGTGATAAACCCAACTGTCCTTTGGGGAATCATCGTTGCAGAGGATAATTTCCCAAACCAGAATTGATTTCCCAAATCCAGTCCTAGATTTCATTTGCTATGGCTTTTTCCCACATTTAAAAAAATTTTTTTTTATTTTGGTATCATTAATCTACAATTACATGAGGAACATTATGTTTACTAGACTGCCCCAATCACCAAGCGTGCCCCACATACCCCACCACAGTCACTGTCCATCAGCATAGCAGGATGCTGTAGAATCCCTACTTATCTTCTCTGTGTTGTACAGCCCTCTCCCCGTGTCCCCCGCCCCACATTATACATGCTAATCATAATGCCCCCATTCTTTTCCCCCCACTTAATTTCTCCTTTCCCACCCATCCTCCCCACTCCCTTTCCCTTTGGTAACTGTAAGTCAATTCTTGGGTTCTGTGAGTCTGCTGCTGTTTTGTTCCTTCAGTCTTTTTCTTTGTTCTTAATACTCCACAGATGAGTGAAATCATTTGGTACTTGTCTTTCTCTGCCTGGCTTATTTCACTGAGCATAATACCCTCTAGTTCCATCCATGTTGTTGCAAATGGTAGGGTTTGTTTTTCTTATGTCTGAATAATATTCCATTGTGTATATGTACCACATCATCTTCTTTATCCATTCATCTACTGATAGACACTTAGGTTGCTTCCATTTCTTGGCTATTGTGAATAGTGCTGCGATAAACATAGGGGTGCATAAGTCTTTTTCAAACTGGGCTGCTGCATTCTTGGGGTAAATTCCTAGGAGTGAAATTCCTGGGTCAAATGGTATTTCTTTTTTGAGTTTTTTGAGGAACCTCCATACTGCTTTCCACAATGGTTGAACTAAGTTATTACATTCCCACCAGCAGTGTAGGAGGGTTCCCCTTTCTCCACAACCTCGCCAACATTTGTTGTTGTTTGTCTTTTGGATAATGGCCATCCTTACTTGTGTGAGGTGATATCTCATTGTGGTTTTAATTTGCATTTCTCTGATAACTAGCGATGTGGAGCATCTTTTCATGTGTCTGCTGACCATATGAATCTCTTCTTTGGAGAACTGTTCAGCTCCTCTGACCATTTTTTAATTGGATTATTTGCTTTTTGTTGGTTGAGGTGCATGAGCTCTTTATATATTTTGGATGTCAACCGTTTATCAGATCTGTCATTTATTATTTTCCCATATACTGTAGGATGCCTTTTTATTCTGCTGATGGTGTCCTTTGCTGTACAGAAGCTTTTAGTTCGATATAGTCCCACTTGTTCATTTTTGCTTTTGTTTCCTTTGCCTGGGGAGATATGTTCATGAAGAAGTTGCTCATGTTTATGTCCAAGAGATTTTTGCCTATGTTTTTTTCTAAGAGTTTTATGGTTTCATGACTTACATTCAGGTCTTTGATCCATTTCGAAT